ACCTCCCACACTCACGTCAATCATGACTGTCACTACCACCATCTTCACCCAAAATCCATCACCACCATCACCGTTGGCTGCCAGCATCACCGTGGTCATCGTCACCCATCACAACCACCATCATTATCGCCTACCACCACTCACCCTCACTATAACCAGTGCTCAAATTCTTTTCTCTCCTCTATGTATGTGATTTGATGTTGAGTGTGAATACAAATATGTTTATTTATAATTATTTTTTTTATTATTTCGTACCTTCAAGTATAGGTAATAACTAGTTTAAAATATGGAGAGATTGTACTATTTATTAAATTGTGCAGGACATTTTTGGACATAATCTATAATATGCTTTGAATTTAGTGGTTGTTTGCATTTTTTTTTATGTTGTTTATGATATATATGCTTGTTACACTATATAAATTAGAATCTAAGAAGTATAATATACTTAACGTAATTGGTAAAATTTTTTTACAAAGATTCCCCCCCCTTCTTCCCTCCCCACGCCAATAATGAAATTTCTGGTCCCATCCCAGTCACTAATATCATGGGCCGCCGTCTCGTGGCCTCGAATCGCCCACCTCATGATAATTCGATGGGTCTTCAGGCTTTCGGGCCAACTCATGTAATAAATACAAGAGAAATTTGGGGACAATGTTTGAAAATAAGTCTATTTTAATCTCTATTATCTAACATATTCTCGGTAATTATATTTAATTAAAACAAAATTAAAAACTAACAACTCCTAAATTTTAAGAGTTTGATTAATATTAAAATTCTCTCTTTCATATCTATCTGTATCCATATATAGATTATGACTACATATATAACATTAAAAATAAAAAATAGTAACATTTAAAAACAAAAATAATAATATTCAAAAAAAAAAATAGTAACATTGAATATTAATATTTGAATTTTTAAATAACAGTAGTAACATGCTCAATAAAAACAGTAACATGCTTAACAAAACAATAACATGCTTAAAAAAATAGTAACATGGTCAAAAAAATAGTAACATGGAACATTCAAACTCAAAAATAATAACATATAATCGGTACCAATAATTTAATTATGATTAACTACCAAATTAATTACCTTTCGAGCATTGCTAGTAGGGGTGTTTACCGTACCCTACAAATAGTAAATATGGTCTTTCATCTTCTTACCTGATACTGTGCGGAAGAAATGTTTTTTGGTCTATCCTACCCGATCAACTATAGTATTCCTACTTGAATTTCGTCCAAATTAATCGGGTAAGAAGTTGGATAGAAAATTGGATGAACATGTTTTGTAGTTATTAATTTTTGAATTATTTTAATAATTCAAATAATTTGTACAAATTTAACAACACAATAAATCAGTAACGCTAAAACCTAAAATAATTACAATAACAATTTAGAAATCATATTCTAAATAAATATACGAGAGAGGTGAGAGAGGCGAGACGAAGAGATAGGAGAGGTGAGATGAAGAGGCGACGAAAATTTGATAGGTACTCCACATTCCTACCGATTTAATCGAAATACTAAAAATTTTTCCGTATTTCTATCCGATTTTTTTGGTTATCAATCAGTAAGGTGAGGTAAGATCGAGTAGAGTAGAAAATTGCAGGTAATTAGAAATTTGAACACCGTTAATTGCTAGTTCAAAGAACATGACCTAGTTCAAAGAACATGACCAAAATCAATAGATTCACCATATGAGTAAAGTCAACCAAAATCACAACCCAAATTCACAAATATAATTCCATAGACAAACAGCAAACCCAATAATTTGAAAGCTTTGAATAGTAAACAAATCCAAGTGATTCCATCTTTGCTTCTTCATCTTCGTCAAGTCTTGGCTAGGCCTTCGGAAAGGTGACCTAACAACGGCGAGAGATGGTGAGCATGGAAGCCATCAACGCCAAAGCAATTCCAATGTGGTATGGTTGCATTTTCTTCCACACACACACTCATTTTAACTGGACACTTGAGAATTCAAGATGAAAGAGGATTTCTGAATTCGACATGATAGAGAAATTTGTCCAAAGTAACAGTATTCATGAGCCGTTGAGTAAGAATGCGTCCATATACAAACAACATAGCATAGCAAAGAAAAATTACCTGGAAATTTAAATTTTTAATAACAGGAAGTGACGGAAAATGTATTTGAAAAAAAACAAGGTCATTTGATCGACATCAAGTACGATTACAAAACTTTTCAAGCTATTCGAGAAACTAGAGAAACGAGTAGATTAGGTCTGTTTGGTTAGTAAGAAAAAGATGATGGAAAGTGAAAGAGATAAAAAGTGAAGTGAAAAAAAAGAAAGTGAAAGAGAATATATTTTTATGCATACATTTGGTTAGCATAAAAAATTTCTAAAATTTTTTTAAAACAATTTCATTTTATTGTTTGGAAGAAACGAAAGTTACAAGAATTTTTTTTCTAATTGTCTGAATTATCCTTAATTATTTTAACTCGATCTAAAGACCAAAAAAATATTTTTTATTATTCAAATTTTTAAAAAATGGTTCTTAACCTAATTCAATGACAAGGACCTACTCGAACCCTGATCTCTAGACCAAATTATATGGTTAGGTTATTGAACACAATTTTTTTCTTTTTATTATGTTTTTTGCAGTAAAAAAAAGTTAGTTAGATGTGAGAAAATCTAAGCATGAAAAAAAATTATTTTTTCTATCATTTTCTATTTCATGCTAAACAAATATATGTAAAATTTTAAAATTTTCTATTTCTTGTATTTTCTAACATTATCTCGCTAAACAAACGGACCCTTAGAGATCTTTAAATTTGAATTTCCAATTTATGATAGAGATTTTATTGGTATATCTCTATTGAATTAAGGGATAATAATTTTTAAGATAAGAAATTAATTCAATGATGGGTATTTTAGAGTTTCACAAAAAAAATAATAGATTTAATTATTTATTAATAAGATTAAAAACGGACGTATTCTCAAATAAATTTTTTTGACGGACTAAACTCAATTTTTGAGAAACAAACAACTGCAATTATATATAATTTATTAATTTAATTCATTGCAAACGTGAAATCAACAATAGAGCCAATTGACTTTTTCCTTTCGTTCGGACTAAAAACATTGTTCCTCATACTAACGTGGTTTGACACCGTTGTTTCAAACAAACTCGTGATCAAGATTGTAACCATATGTGGACATTTCTACTAAGAGGTTTGAACAAACCCATTGAACGTCTAGGATCTTTGAACGTGACTGACTTGAACGGCCAGATGGGTGAACCTGCATGATTGTCACACTGCTCCCTATCACAAAAACATGAAAACCAATGTCCACATTAACAAACATAAATAGAGAGAATTGTGAACATAGTCTGCTGAAACTTGGCCATGTTTTGCAAACTTGTAAAAATGGTGGTGGTGGTGTCTCCCTATGTTATTGGCTTAGCTGCCTCTCAAGAAGAAGATCTTGGCTTCATCTACAATGAATTTCGATCAGCGGCCAACCTGAGTCTCGACGGCGCAGCTGAGTTCACACCCAATGGCCTCTTGAGGCTCACCAACACCACCGACCTACAAAAGGGTCATGCCTTCTATCCCAACCCCATCAACTTCAAGAACTCATCAACTGGTTCAATTTTCTCCTTCTACACCTCTTTTGTATTCAGCATTGTCTCAGATTCTCTGACTCGGGGTGGCAATGGAATGGCTTTTGTGATTGCACCCACTAGAGGCCTTCCGCGATCTTTTCCAAGCGGGTATCTTGGTCTCTTTGATAACACCAACAATGGCAATGACAGCAACCATATCTTTGTAGTGGAACTCGATACAATCCAAAATCCCGATCTTAAAGACATCAATAACAACTATGTTGGAATTGATATTAATGGATTAGAATCCAAAGTATCAGAGCCCGCAGGATATTATGCTAGTAGTAATGGTGAGTTTCAGGACTTGAAGCTCATTAGTCGAAACCCAATTCAAGTTTGGGTGGATTATGATGGTGATGCTAAGCAAATTCAAGTCACTTTAGCTCCAATAAACGTGGGAAAGCCAAATACTCCACTCTTATCTTTGTCCCGGGATCTTTCATCGGTTATGAATCAGACCATGTATGCAGGCTTTCCATCATCTACTGGTTCAATCCCCACTAACCATTATATATTGGGGTGGAGCTTTAAGCTGAATGGCATGGCTCAAGGGCTTGATCTCTCTCCACTTCCTCGACTTGGACCTAAAGAGAAATCGAAAATGTTGGAGATTGGGTTGCCTGTGATTTCCATTGTGTCTATGTTATTAGTCATTTCAGGCCTAATTTTTCATATAAGAAGGTAGAGAAAGTTTGCATAGGTGCTTGAAGATTGGGAAGTTGACTATGGACCACATAGATTCAAGTACAAGGATTTGTACATTGCCACCAAAGGGTTTCGAGACAGAGATATATTAGGGATTGGGGGTTTTGGTAGGGTATACAAAGAGATCTTACCCACCTCTAAAATTGAAATTGCAGTGAAGAGAGTGTCTCATGATTTAAGACAAGGGATTAGGGAATTTGTTGCTGAAGTAGTCAGTATTGGTCGATTACGCCATCGGAATTTAGTATCTCTCTTGGGTTATTGCCGGCGTAAAGGAGAGCTCTTTTTGGTTTATGAGTATATGCCCAATGGAAGTCTAGATAAGTTCCTCTACGACCAACCACAATTCACCTTGGATTGGAGCCAAAGATTTGCAGTCATCAAAGGTGTAGCATCACGACTATTCTATCTACATGAAGGGTGGGAACAAGTGGTGGTTCACAGAGATGTCAAGGCTAGTAATGTCTTATTAGATGGTGAATTAAATGCAAGATTAGGCGATTTTAGTCTCGCGAGATTGTATGATCATGGGACTGACCCTGAAACAACCATTGTGGCCGGAACTCTTGGGTATCTAGCCCCTGAACATGCCAGAACTGGCAAGGCCACAATAAGCACTGATGTATATGGTTTTGGGGCTTTTATGCTAGAGGTTGTTTGTGGAAGGAGACCAATAGAGCCACGACGAGAATCAGATGATCAGAATCTGGTTTTAGTCGATTGGGTGTTTTCGTGCTGGAGAAGAGGTGAGATTCTTCAAGTAATTGATCCAAATTTGGGTACTGATTACATTGCAGATGAAGTGAAGTTGGTGTTGCTTGGCTTGTTGTGCTCTCAATCAGAGCCTGTAGCTAGGCCGAGTATGAGGCAAATTCTACAGTATTTGGAGGCCTCCATTCTTCTGCCTGACTTATCATCATTAGGAATTTCGGCCATTGGCCTAACGTTTGCAAATCGTCAGAGCTTTGTGTTGGGAAAATAGGTTTTCCCACAAGTGTAAATCAATGGAAGCAATATAAATAAAATAACAGAAAATAAATAAGCACACAAGATTTACGTGGTTCCCTCAAATAACTTGAGGTACATCTACGACGACCGGTAGGTCAGTTTCTTCCACTATCACCAAATCAGATTACAAAGTGGCCAAAAGGCATAAGCCTTACAAACACACCAAGGTGTAAATCACAAGAGGAAAATACCTCACAAAATAAGTGAACCAAATCTCCAAGAACAAACCGCAAGAAACCCAAATATCAAGTGAAGAAATATTACCCACTTGAAGAACAAATTTGCAGATTTTTCTGGCACCAAAAAAGGAGAAGAAGAAGGCTGAATTTTTGTTGAACCAAAGACTGCTGAAAATATGTCTTCTTGCCAAAACCAACAGAGAGGAGATGAACCAAAGAAAAGGACAAAACTTATAGTCTTTGGTGGTTGCCAAATTCCTTTTTAACTAGAAGACTCCAAACCAAGTCTTGGATAAGAGTCCTACACGGGTAAGCCACCAAAAAATTAGCAAATTGATGAGTCCCACAAAGGAGGGAAACCCAACAATTCTCCCCCTCCCGACTTATGTGGAGGATTCGACCATTCCCGCCAAAAGTCGACACTTCTCATCCTTGTCCTTAGTCAATGCCTTAGTTAACATATCCGAAGTGTTATCATCAGTGTGAATTTTTTCAAGTTGTAACAACTTATCATTCAAGACATCACGAATCCAATGATATCTAACATCAATATGTTTCGATCTCGAATGAAATGAAGAATTCTTGCTCAAGTGGATTGCACTCTGACTATCACAATGAAGGACATACCTTTCTTGTTTCAAACCCAACTCTTGTAAGAATTCCTTCAACCACAATAATTCTTTGCAAGCTTCAGTGATGGCGATGAACTCAGCTTCTGTGGTGGAGAGAGCAACGCATTTCTGTAAGTCCTTTGCCATGAAGGATTTGGGTCCAGCAAAGCAAATTCTTGGGATGAGAATTGTTCGTGACAGATCACACGGGCTGATTTGGTTATCTCAAGAGAATTATATTAAAAAGGTTCTTGAGAGGTTCAATATGGATGATTTTGCCATGTCGTATCAGTCTTCTATGGAGTTTGCATGTCCACATTCACCATCTGTTGCAGAATCCCTTCTCTTTGGAAGTCGATGATCAAGAACTTCTGGTTATTTTAACCCTTGAGACGACTATTATTTTCCTTTTGTTTATTTGGGCATTAGAGTGACTTCCACGTAAATATAGCTATACTGAGATGTAGAAGATTTGCTTCCAAATAGTTCTCTATCAAAAATTTTCTGCAATTCATTTAAACAGAAGCCATTGCATCTCTAGGACAAGTAGCCTGAGGTTTAGCGCATTTCATTTATGAAATTCTCAACCCCGAAGCAGGACTTTTTTTTCCAATTTTCAGATTTAAGAATGCAAAATAAAAATGGAAAATGAGGTACATAGACTGGCTTTGTAAAGAACATTTGTTTGGGTGCGAGAATTAACCTAATTTTCCAACATGTGGTAAGCTTATCTCTTTTAGATCCCGATATAAGCCAGAGCATTGTAAAAGCCCTGATTCTTAAGTTGCAATACACTGAATTTTCCCTGCCTCTAGACGATTAATAGTTGTACTAGATTCTCAATCAAGCCTTCAACATAAGTTGTAAAATAACTCATCATCAATCAAGTTGAGGAGTAAATAGATCAAAAACTTTGAACCAATTGAAAGAAAATCAAATAAATTGCTTCTGGAAATTAGTTAAAAGGACACTTTTATGTCTAGGTGTTCACCCTACCCTATGAGTTAGAATTATGGTATTCTATTTTCTTACCCGATTCTTTACGGAATAATTTTTTTTTAGCCTACTTTTCCTGATCAAGTGCACTATTCTTACCCAAATTTCATCCAAAACAATCGGGTGGGAAGTCATAAGAAATCGGGTGAACACATATTTTTTAGTTATTAATTTTTGAATAATTTTAACAATTTAATTAAGTAACATGCACTTATTAACTAACACAATAAACCAATATTACTAAAAAAAATATAATAAATTACATAACAAGAAAGGCATAAACATATATATATATATATATATATAGGGTAGGATAGAAATACGAAAATTTTGTTGGTATTCCGCAATCCATTTCGTTTTTTTGCAAAATATCAAAAGATCTTCTGTTGGCTTACTCGATTATTTTGGGTGGCCGATCAGATAGGTCTGGTAAGGTAGGATAGGATTAGAATTTACAGGTAATTGAAAATTTGAATACCCCTACTCTTATGAACAAAGCGGACTGAAATTCCCAACCCTACAATTATTTTGCTTTTTTTTTTTTTACCATGATTCAATCTATATCAGCTTGTAATTTTTTAGCTCTTAATAAAGCATTTCCAGGAAGTTCTTATTTGTTAATCAAGAAAGTATACTTTTCTCTAAGGAATATGCGTTGTTGATTTCAAATTCTACCCTTAAAAATCAAAACCAGTCGTTCCTTGTTTTCTTTGATCATAAAAACTTCCAAGAAATATGTTTCGATCAGTCAACGTCGTCTGATACTTCCTTCGTTGTTCCATCTTGTTTTCCTTCTCCTTTCCGCTGTTAATGAATTTCAACTACAGAAAAAAAATTGTCTAAAATTTCTCTAAAATTTTCCAAAGATTATTTTGTGGTGTTAAACTACGACGGTTTAACAAAACTCGATTTTCTCAGTTTGGTACCTGACTTGAGTATAGTGTAGCAAAAGATACAATATTTTATTTGTGCTATTATCTTTTTAAATCAGATATGGGAGAGCAATCGGGTGGCGAAACTTTAGATTTCTTGTAGATCATAATGAGGATATTAAAGTTGTTGTGTTAAAAAATGCTCCTAAGAATTTCAAATTGACTTCACTTGAAATTCAAAAGGACGTTGTAATTGCAGCTTCTATTGAACCGTGTAATGTTATTGTAACTTGTCTTGATGATGTAATTTTTTTTGTTCTTGTTGATGAATCACGTGACATATCGACAAAAGAGCAAATGACTGTTGTGTTGCGATTTGTGGACAAGAAGGGACATATAGTTGAACACCTTGTAGGTTTTGAACATGTTACTAATACTAGTGCTCTCTCTCTTAAGACAGCTGTAGAAGATTTATTTGCTTGACATGAATTGAACTTGTCAAGATTGCGTGAAAAAGTTACGATAGGGTTAGTAATATGCGAGGTGAGTTCAATGATCTCACGACATTTATAATGAAAGAGAATGAATATGCAAATTATATCCATTGTTTTTTGTATCAATTGCAATTAGCTCTTTTGGCTGTTGCAAAGAATTATATTCAAATCGCGACTCTTTTCAACTTGGTTGCTAATATTGTGAATATTGTAGGAGTTTCATGTAAACGTCGAGATATTCTTAGGGAAAAACAATTGAATTACACGGAGCTTTCAAGTGGGCGAGGCCTAAATTAGGAAACTAATCTTACACATGCTTGTGATACACGTTGGGGTTTACATTATTATTCTTTGATCAACTTAATTGATATGTTCTCATTAGTGGTTGATGTGTCTGATATGGTTTCAGAAGATGGTATAAATGCAGAATAAAGAGGGGAGACAAATGTTCTTTTGGATTTGCTATAATTTTTTGAGTTTGTATTCAATCTTCATTTGATGAGAAGTATTTTGAGAATCACAAATGAGTTGTCATAGGCATTACAAAGAAAATATCAAGATATCGTGAATGTTTGTTCAAATATCCAAGCAACGACTTCAAATGATAAGGGAAAGTGATTAGAATTGTTTTCTTGATGATGTCACATCTTTTTGTGAAAAACATGAGATAATTGATCTAGAGATGGACGATATCTTTAAAGCTCGAGAAAGGTCAAGGCATACTCAAGAAAAGATAAATTTGTATTACTATCAAGTTGAGTTATTTTATGCCGTCATAGATATGCAACTTGAAGAGCTAAATAGTCGTTTTATCGACTCAAACACTAATTTACTTCTTTGCGTGACATGTTTGAGTCTTTCTGATTCCTTCTTAGCTTTTGACAAGGAGAAATTGGTTTGTCTTGCCCAATTTTACCTAAAAGAATTTTCTTCACTAGAGCTCATGATACTTTCTGATCAACTGGGTAGTTATATTATTGAAATGCGCTCTAATATTGAGTTTTCAAATTTGATGGGGATTGGGGATCTTGCTCAGAAAATGGTTGAGACGAAAAAACACGTGGTATATCTATTGATCTACTTACTTGTGATATTGATATTGATGTTGCCAGTTGTGACTGCCACAGTAGAGAGAATATTTTTGGCTATGAAGATTGTGAATAATAGATTGCGTAATTAAATAGGTGATCAATGGATGACAAATAACTTAATTGTATACATAGAGAATGACATTTTCGATTGCATAGATAATGATGTTATCATGCAGCGCTTACAAAATATGAAATCACGTCGTTCTCAATTGTAAAAGACTATAGTTAGTCTCATTTTTTGTAAAAAGGTCTAATTTGAACCTTATTTTACAATTTTTTTTTGTACCTCATGTATATTGGTTTTTGGCTCTTTTGTCAGTAAAATTTTAGGTATTATATATAATTTAAAAAAATTATTTGTTTTTAATTTTAATCCTTAAGAAAGCTAATTTTTAAACTTATAGTTAGTGCCCCATGTATAAATTCCTGGCACCGCCCCTGGCCATAACCGTGAGGAACAGAACAACCAGTCCTAGAGAATCCCCATATTATTAGCTCCATCTGTGAAAGAAAGAAAGCCACCTTCATTTATAGGCAAAAAAATCCTACGTAGACCCCTTCGGTTTTATCAATTCGATATTCTCATGGAAGCAGAGGCCGGCCAACACTAGCATACATGTTATATTCTGCCACACTATGTGGAAGAAATTCCAAACTATGACCTGGTTTTGGTCATGCTGTGTGTGCATCGCAAGACATCGCATTGTGCAATGAACATCACTGATTCACAT